CGCAGTGCCCTCACCAGCTCCAATGACAGAGGCCCCTCCAGCACACCACTCCTCCCCCACCACCCCAGCCACCCACCGCCCTCGAGTTCCCAGGTCATCGGCAGTGGCGGCGGCCAAGCCCACAACCCGCCTGCCATCCACCACAAGCTCAAAGACCTCAGCACCGGAGAGGCTGCTCAGGCCCCCGACAGCCAGCTACAACCAGCACACCAGGCTTCACAGGCAGAGGTGAGAGGCCTCCACCACCCGGGATGGGCTAGAACCCAGGCAAAATAGTCTAGAATTCGGAGACCCACTGAAATGTCTACCAACCAAGGCCCTTCTTGGCTTTGTCTCTAGAAGGCCACTGTGACATAGACGACCTGTGAGTATAGCGCATTAACTCTTTAGTGCCCTTAACATGAATATACTTGCCAATGCCCCAGCAGGTGATCTTGTAGAAGCAAGACCCCAAATTTTCAGTCCCTCCGCATTCATTCACATCTGTTTCGATGGGGAGAAACTAAACGAGACTAAAATTAACGACTAAACTATTGAGGATTATAACTACTTTCACGTGTTTCCTTTTACTTTTTCAATCTAGCTATTAGGAAATTTTAAATTACATGTATGACTCACGCTATGTTTCTATTGGACAGCACTGCTCGAAAGGCTAGAATAGATGCTAGGAAAGTGCTGCAGTAGACCACTAGGGGGCAGTATTACAGCAGCCGCCAAAGAAAAGCTACAATAATCGGAATTATTTTTACCTAAGCAAAGATCAACATGTGAGTGAGGAAAGGGACCTTCATTTAGGTCGTATAGATGAGGAAACAGACCATGAGAGCGAAGTAGTTTCAAACGGAACCAGGATTCCTGATTATTAGTTCAGGAAATGACAACAGCCTACTTAGGGAAGAATTCAAGGCAAGTCAATCAACATTTTCTTACTATGTGTCAAGCATGGCGCTATGTCCTGAAGATGTAGAAAAACGAAGCCATGCAGTATATAGGTCCTATCTCGCTAATGCAAGTCTGACCGCGACAAAGGTTGTAAATGCTATGATCACCAGAATTGGGAAGAGGGAGAAAAGAATCGGTTCTGGTTTGCCATGTTCAGGGAAGAGGACTTACCCACTGGCTCTTTGTGGAAAGTAAAATTTCCACATGCAGAGGAAAGAGAGGGGAGGCCTCCTAGGCAGAGGGAGCACCGTGAGAAAAACATCCTCTTTCCCACAATGAGAAGAAACGAACTCATTGAACATTTGCAATAAGCTTGAGGAAACTGAGGTACAGAAAGGGAATCTGACATTTGCTGACCGCCGCGTGGACCCGGTGCATGAAGTTCTTTTCATCCACTCTGTGGTCCGCCCTTAAACGGTTCTGTGAAATCGGTTTTACTAGACCCATGGACAGGGAAATGAGGCTCAGAGAAGGTAGGAGACTGGTTCCAGATCACTGGTTCCAGTGAAAATCTGAATCTAAATTTGGCTCCAGAAACAAGGCTCTTTGTTGCGGGGGAGGTGGGGGGGGGGGGGGCGGGAATCGGTTAACAAAGGGACAACCTGAACCATCTCCAAACAGTGGCCACTCAAAAGTGCTTCCTTAAGCCTCCTCCCTTCCCGCCCTCTCCCCCTCTCCCTCTCCTGCCCCCCTCAGAGCCTCCCACCACGGCCCGGCGTCCCGAATGGAAGACCAGGGGTTTCACCTCCTGATCCCCACCTTCCTGAGCCTTATCCTGCTGTCCCTTCTGGGGCTGCTGGTGACCAGGATCATTCAGAGGAAGAAAGGTGAGCGGTCGGGCTGGGTTAGAGGGAACTGAGCGGCCCAAAGAGCCCAGAGCACCCCCCTCCCCCTCATCCACCCCCTCTCTCCCGCTGGTTCCCCGGAGCTTTCGATGAGTGGCCGGGGGTACAGGGAAGCCAGGGATGGGGGGGGGGGGTGAATCGCCTGGAAGTGGGGTCGCAGCCGCCGGGGCGCTTTGGCCTTCTGTGGAGGGTAGGCCGGCGCCGCGCACCCTAAGCCGTTCTCCCCTCCCCGGGGCTTTTTGCCGAAAAGCCCTCTCCAGGCGG